CAATTTTAAGTCATTCTAGAAAGAAAAAAAAGGGTAACTTTTTTTTTTCCGAGGTCAGTCAAATTGACCAACACTGTATAAAGTTAGGGTAGAGAAAATAACAGATAAAATATAAAGTTTTACTGAGAAAGGGAATTTGAAATTTATTTAGTAGGTTTTAGAGATTTTGCAAATAAAATTTGGTATTTTTAAGATGAACAAAGTATTTTAAATCTTAACATGGAAATCACTTTGCACTCAGACTAGTATATAGAAATACTGTATATATTCACAGACAAATCTTTAGTAAAAATACTTCATTAAAAAAATCTGATTTTTTGTGAACAAAAGACTTGTAATGTTTACTAAAAGTCTGATAAATCTTATGAAGACACACAAAGGGTATTAAAATATATAATACAGAAATAATAAAGAGTACAAAATGGTTACGAGCTCAGACGATTCAACCAACCTCATAGCGAAAGAGGTAACTGACAATGAGCACAGAAGTCTCAGAAATTGGCCTGGAATATAGTAGATATCACACTCTTACAAATGCATTGCCTTTCAGTCCAGTGGGTGAGACATCTAAGCCAGAAGGAACCTTGGATTAAATTCACTTCCAGTATTTCGTCCACAACTAGTTCCAAGGTTGTCTAAGACAAGATTAGAAAGGTGAATGGAAAGTACACCTCCCATCATTATTCAATCTTGCAACCCAATAGCTAAGAGGTGGAGGTTTGGCATCATACAAACCTTTATTCCTATGGGCTGCATAGCCATTTACCCATGTTTATTCGTAATTTTTTGCCAAAAGATATTTCTGAGTCAGTGGGATCAAAATTATCATGATCCCTCACACAGAAACTTAAGAGATTCCTTCAGGGCTATGTGTTAAGTAGTATCTTTTTAGCTTTAAGGTCAATGCCATTACTGACCAACTTCTTTCTGCAGTTGAAAACAGCCTCTGTGTTAGTGACTTTCAAATTTCCTATCAGTCATTGAATATAAAATATATTGAGTGGCAAGTTTAGACTGCCTTTACTTATTTGTCTGAGTGAGCCACAGCAAATTATTTCATATTCTCGTCATCTAAAACTGTATTCATGCAATTTTACAACTAGCATGGTCCATGACTATGATTCCCATGATGGCTGAGACAAGTTTCTTGAGACTTCTTCTTGACCATAAGTTGACATTTATTCCACACAATAAGCAGTTTAGATTAAAGTGTACAAGGGCATTGAACATTGTCTACATTCTCTCTTACATCTCTTGGGATGTGGATAGGTGTTCTGTGCTGAAAATCTGTTGTGCCCTTATTAGATCTAAGCTGGACTATGGGTCTCTGGTCTTAGGTACAGCCAAGGACTCTGCTTTGAAGATGTTGGACCTTGTACATCATCAGGGGCATTAGCTCTGCACTGGGGTTTTCTGCACTTCTCTGGTTTTGAGTTTTTACACTGAATTCTGTGAATCTCCACTTCACCTCAGCCACTTTCATCTCTTTATTTTGTAATATGCTGCAGAGCTCTGATATTTATCCCAGCATCCCAAGCTGCATTGTGGCATCATTCTTCACTGGGCTATGTTTTTTGCAAAATAATGGTCTGCTATTTGTACTTTTGGCTTTCATCTTCAGGCACATTTGACTGAGGTGGGTCTGATATTGGATAATATTGCATTCCACCTTAGCTTGTTAACACACCTGCATTTGTGACCTTTCTTTTGGTCATCTGAGGAAGACAGATATTCCTGACTGCAAGTATGAACTTCTTTTATATCAACACCTTCAAACTGTTCCTCTATTCCTGTTTTAACATATGATATGAAATCAGGTGACTCTATGGGATCTGCCATGGTTTACTGTGGCTGCTTGCAGGATTTCTTCTACAGAATGTGTTCACTGCCGAGTTATATGCCTTTTCACTTTCTTTGATCATATAGAAGCTAAACAGCACACTAATTGTATAATTTATATTGACTTGCATAACTCTTTAAAGGATGTGGAATTGCTTAATGTTAGTTCTCACCCAATTCTCATGGAGATTTAGAAAAGACTGCCTCATTTTTCATTTCCATCCATCTCTATTCAGTTTTTCTGGATTCCCAGGAATGTTGGTATTTGTGGGAATGAGCTCACTAACACCACAGCAAAGTCAGTCTGCTTTGCTGATATCACAGCCTTCTCTGTCTCTTGTCATCAAGGCAAGGCTTCACACCAGTTGACATTCGATTTGGAGTTAGCAACATCAAAACAGGTTTTCCATGTAAAGCATACTGCTTTTGTCTGGCTATTAGATTTTATTTACAGGTGGCCATGTTGTGACATTCAAGTTATAATTTCCCATGTTTTATTTTCATACCTTCATTAAAACTGCCAACCATATTTTATCTCAGAGTTTGACTTTGATGTTGGACAGTATCATTGGCAATAATGACACTGTCCAGATTAATCTTGTTTTCAGATTTTTATGGGCCATTGCCTTTTTAATTTATTTAACTTCTTACTCTTGTTTCACATAAAACAAAAGAAAACGGGTCGTTTTTGATATGTATTTTATTTTATACTAGCTTATATGTTTTACCTTTTGTTAAATTTTTTCCAATCAAATAATACTGTTTGGCACAGATAGCCCTGGTGCTTTGTGCCATAAATTCCTAACAATCCGTCTATTGTTCCATTCATTTTAATACGTACTTTACAAGTTTCCAGATGATGTAATGCTAGAGTTAATAGCACCAGGCTCTGAGAAACTTAGTTAATTCTGTGATGGTATGCTTCTTAATTGGTCATCTTAGGGTTAAGTTGGACAGTATTGTAGTTGGTCTGTAGACCATGTCCATCATGTGATAAATCTTGTTTTGTTTCTTAAATTGTACTATAATTGATGGCAAACCATTCTCACTTATGAGTGATGATCCCAAGACCATCACCATCATTGAAAGAAAAATGTTTTAAATTCATCATGATTTACATATTCTAATGGTGGAAGGAATATACTATCTGTTCTATCAGTGGTACTCAGTTTATGTTGTTGTACACTTGTTACTTCTATTATTCATTCATTATAAATGGGCTATTAGTACCACTGGAAACAGAATCACTATTAAAAATGACATTCTTACATCTCATTTCCACTAAACCATCTGCTGCTGTTAGAAGTTCAAATCATCTGGAAGTAACTCGTAAGTGGTTTTTCTGTTCTTCTCAGTTTTTAGTTACTTGTGACTCGTATTATATTCATCAGATTAATAAATAGACATAATTTTGTAGGTGAAATTTAATTTCTGTTCTGATTAGTTATCATGCATTCATCAGCTGGGTCAGAAGTAGCTTGCCAACAGTGTACTGAGTTAACACCTTCTAAGGGGTGAATAGTAAAGACTTTACAAATGAATTATTTACATAAAATTTATAATGTTAATCTTTTACATTACTATCTCTATCTCACTTTTTATTATTTCTTATTACAAGTTAACATCTGTGCCATAATGGTAGATGGGATCTACCTTGGTTTGGGTCTTGAGGAAATATTTTTCCTCATTAATCAGACTGTAACTTAAATAGTTTCCACTACTAGCTTATGCATTTTTGTGTACTTCCAGAGCATTGTTCTCTGAGCAAATTCATCAGTTTGTTGACGATAGTGGCTGATTATTTCATAGATTAAGATTACAACAGGCAGCATTTCATATTGTTCCATTTGCTTCATTAGTAAAAAATATCCATGATCAGTTAGTGGTCTTCAGTTATCAGTCCTATGTTTTACAATGATATTTTTTCTTTACCATTGACCCTCAATTTATAGTTAATAACTTATATTCAAAGGATGTAACATTCTTTTTTAATCACTGAATAGTGCTGTCCTAGATAGAAATAAGAATTCAAATAATTGATTATTTATCTTCATTAAATAATTTGTAGTTGATCAGCTGTCTAATTATTAATCATTTTTCAGAAAGTAATATACACAGCTCCTTTTCAGCATTTCTGCCCAGTACTATCTTAGCTGCATACGTTCTTATATAATTTCTCAAGAAAGAAATTGTTCTAATTGTTATCAGAACAAACAGAAAATACTTGGTATAACACTATTTTAATCATAAGCTACAAACTACCAGATTACCATAGCCACAATATAGTAAATTTAGATTATCATTACTACATTAGAAATTGTGTACTTGGGATGAAAATAGACTTTAAACCAAATTTACATTTATACATCAAGAAACTGTGATTATGCCAAAAACCAGTTTAATTAATACAATGATAATGATTTCTGCTAAAATTCTAATAAATTTGACTGAAACACACAAAAAAAGCTATAATTAAAATTTGGCTAAAACCTTATAAAAGCTAAAACTAAAATGAATACCTTTTACTTAAGAAAATGCATTTAACTATATTGTAATTATGTTAGAATGTTGAAATAACTAAGATTTAGAGTAATAGAATGCCCTCCAAGATACTAGATCACAATGGAAGATAGACAGCATCAATGTTTGGACAGTATATAGCTTCTGTGTTGTATGTGTGGAGACTAGAAATAATGTAATCTGTTTTTATTACTTAACTTCTATTACCAGTAATTATTTACAAAATTAGAATTGTTTTTATTTCCTATTGTAAT